AGCTGGGCGACCTCCTCTTCCGATGGTGGCGTCTTGTGGGGACCCGTGGTAGGTGGGGGACGATGACCCTTATGTTGGCCGGGTACTGATGTGGCAGTAGGGCCAGTGTCTGCAGGGCACTGACGAACCCAGGGTTACGGGACTCCACCCTCCACACGTCTTCCAGGAAGGGCCTGAGGCATGCCCAGTACTCCTTCCCCTCTGGCCGGAGCGTCCTCTGTGAACTCCTGGGCTTCGATGGCCGTGGCGCCGGGGCCAGGGCGAACCGTTGGCCGCTGGAAGCTTGAGGCTGGTCCTTGTTGGCTGTCTCTTGGGTTGAGGGAGCTGAAGGTGGGACGTAAACCACGTCATCGTCCTCGGTGGCAACCTCAGTCGTGGGGCCTTCCACCTCTTTGACCTGGTGATCAGCCTCACCTCCCAGGGGTGGAATGACTGCCTCACCGCCTCGGGGTGGAATAACTGTCTCACCTCCTTGGGGTGGGATTACCACCTCTCGGCAGGCGAGGGGAACGATGACCTCACTGCTGTGTGATGGGGGATCTGCTGCCGCTGCCCTGGCCTGGATTTTCGCGGCCATCTCTTTGGGAACCTCTAGCAGCAGTTCCAGGGACCCTCCTGGCGTTAGAGGTCTTTCAGCCACCAGGGTGGGAGGTGGTGGTGTGGTCAGCCCTGTCCCTGGTAGCGGCTCGGTGGCGGCCCGGGCCAATACTGGGGGAGCCTCCCCTACGTCCATGGGTTCTGGTCCTGGTGCGGGGCGGTCACTCTCCGCTGCTGGGATTCTCTCCTTCTTCCTATCCTCGCTCCTCTTCCCCTTCCTCTCCTTGGCATCCTTGGGCCCCTTTGAACAGAAATGGCGTCGTAGGAAAAACCCTCCTCGTGTCAGGGATATCTCAAACCTACGGGTTTGGATGTTTCGTCGCGGGATCTGGTGGATTTACCGGCGCGAGGTACGGTTTTAGATCTTGTACTGCGACCTCGCCCTGAGTTTTACCGCGGAAGTCCGTGAGCGCGTATCGCACCTTCGATAGTTTCCTGTCGATGATGAATGGACCCTCAAACGGAGGTACTAGCGCGGCGGAGAATCGTTTCACGGCGTTAGACAGGGGGTGAGATCGGCGCATTACAAGATCTCCCTCCCAAAATTCTACGTCCCGACGCCTAAGGTTATAATGGTGCGCCTGTTTATTAGATGATTCCGTCATGGCGTGGACGAGAGCCTTACGCAATGCGTCTAACCGTTTCATGCGGTCGATCCACTCCTCTGGGTTCCCAGGGAGGATTTCGGGGTCACCTTCAAGCTCGCGCTTGAGGGAAACAGCTGGGAGGGGTTCCCGGCCGAAGTTCGCGAACGCTGGCGTTGCTTGGAGCGCCTCGTGATACGC